GCTCAAGGAGCGTGCCCTTGCGGAACCTCATGATGCAGGCGTTGAGGTGTTGTCTAGTGAAAAGCTATTTAAACTTGATTATGCGGACGATATGTTCCTGCTTTTTAACAATGTTGGGGTGGCACAATCAACCCTGAATAGCCTGTCTAGAGTGGCCCATCATTCGGCATGCGCTTCGTACCTTCAAAGTGAAAGGTCTCGTACAGGACCACCAGCCACTTGATCACCCTTGACCAGTGATAACGGAAAACTCGAAGTAGTTAATCAACTCACTTAACAGCTGCATCAGCAATGATGGTCGCGTAACAACTGAAGTCATTTCGCGTATTGCAAAAGCTAGAGCTATGTTTTCGAATCTGCAACATCATTAGCGACAGAAAGGAGTTTCCTCCGATCTGAGAGCCATTTGAAAGGCCGCAGTGAGGGCCGTCCTGATCTATGGGAGTGTGACTTGGCCCCTTCGGTCTGAAGATCTGAGGCGCCGTCAATTCTTTGATCACCGATGCCTGGGGAGCATTGTTAATGTCGGATGGCACCAACGAGTCCGAGTGCGTAGGCAGGCTAGCTCTTTGGAACAACAGATAGTACTGAATAAGCTGCGTTGGCTTGGGCACATGCTACGTATGCCCGGTCACCGCTTGCCGAACAAGCTGTTTTGTTCGCCAGATGTAGGGTAACGCAAGACTCAAGGCGGCGGCGTGAAATGGAGTCAATGACTACAAACGTCGGTACTGTTGGTCCGTCTCGCTTTCCAGGTTGGAGTCTAAGTGACTCGCCTTGTGCTTGGCTCGAGACACTACAGGACATCGCTCACAGTCGGCAGCAGTGGCGCGTCTGCTGCCGTTTTCTAGTTGAACTGCCTGTTTAAAGTGTGTTTGGGACTGAGTTATCTGCGGGTTAACGGCTGATTATGACGCGGGGCAGTGAAAGCCGAAAGGAAGCTGTCTCGCCGATGCCGCCTTATCTTTGCATGATAGCCAACTGTTTGTGACGGTACGCTGTTGACAACGTATAGGTGCCTTGACCATGAGCGCTTGCTGATGAAACTAAGGCTTTATGCTAGGTTACTCTTCTCTCCGTGTTGATATTCCTCGTTCCTTAGGCCACCGTGGTCGTACGGTAGCGAAGCTTCAATCCAAAATGGCTTATGTAATGCTCTTGATGATGACACCTAGGCGGCTGCCGTTAAACACCAGTTGCAGTGTTACTCGTTTGGTGCACCCACTACACATGGTTTATCCGAAAAGTAATGTCAATGAGTTGAATAGAAAAACATTTATGGATCCGATCGGTACAACACAATAAAATACTTCAAAGTAGACTGCACCTGCGTAGATACCACGCTTTCAGCGAGATTTCCTGGTCTTGAAGGCGTCACGATAGCCCTTTTCTGGAATGTTCTTTAGAGCCTTGGAACAAGTCTCTCTGACTTTGTCAACTGTCCCGAAATGATGTCCTTTCATGGGTTTTAAAGTGGCAGAACAAGAAGTTTTGGAGAAACAAGTCAGGACTGTAGGGCAGTTGGTATCTTTGAATAGGACAGGAAGCGGATCACGAGAAAGACGGTGTGGACTGGTGCGTTGTCATGGTGAGGTCTTCAATCGGCCGCGAGGTGAGACCGCATACGAAGAATATGTCATTTGAATCTATTAAGCACTTCTATGTAAAATTAGGCGTCGAAGGTGATGTGGTATAAAGTTGTGGTGGACGAACGCTCTGATGTCAAAGAACACAATGAGCATGGTCTTTGACTCGCTCATTTTTGTCCGTGGTTGTCGTTGATAGCCTTCTGGCGCAGGCTTCATCGCTGACCTTGTGTCGTCGGTAGACTTAACATTCCGATAAAGAAAATCACCAAAGACCGTCCATAGCATGGGTAAAGTTTCCACTGCAGACTTGCCGAGTTTCACGCAAAAGTTGATGGCAACCCTTTGCAACATCAAGCGCTGCATCGTGGCTTGCACGGGAGGCGAAAACGAGTTTGACGAAAATGCGTCCTTACTCTGCGAATGGTCTCAGACGATTGAGCAATTGCTTGTGCGTAAACTGACTCCTCTCTCCACCAAACTGAGCGCGTTGTGAGGTTTATTCACTTCACAGACATTACTTTTCGGAGTTTCAAGCAGCCGTGTCGTTGTAAGTGGACATCGTTATTACAATGTCGCTATGAATGTATTAGTTTTCTCGGAATATTTCAACATTGATATTTGTCAAGCTATTTTCAAGGTCACTGCTGCTGTCCTTCGAGTAATCTTTGAGAAAAATTCAAGATACTGCGCAAGTGAAGATGGACGGTCTCGATTGAAAACCTAGCTTTCAACGCTAGCTTTAAATTATTTTGTCCGGAACCGCTTAATTTTGGTTCCTTTACACTGATCGTTTATTCAAGTGACATTTCTGCACAGTGTCCTTTTATCCATTCCTACAAATGTAGTTCTGATAATGTAAATTTAGCTCATCCGTTGTCGAGATGGTAAAGTGCTAAAAATGTACCAATCTGGATACATAAAGCTTGTTTTGATTTGACTTGATATCACTAATGACTTTCAGGTCTCGGTGATTAAAAATGCTCACAACGTGCTTGAAGTATTTCCCCACCAGCCGCAATCGAAAGAGCTATTCCTTTAAGTTCGCTTTGCGGAACTGTGATTCGACTGAACGAGCGACTCCATTAGTTCGTCCCATTGTCCGCGCCCATAAACTAGATTTCACTATTGAGTGAGTAGAGTCAATTCGACGTGTACATGAGGATACTCCTCCCTGGCCTGAAAACTGATCGAAGCTGCAAGCGCATCGCAGGCAGCATGAATCGACGACTGAGTATCCCTTTGCGAAACCAATGCACAGGAAAACAAAGGTCAGATTTTTCAATCTGTTCGTCATTCTTCTCGGCTGATGACAGAGGGCAGATGGAGCTGGAAATTGTCTTTTGTGATCAATCAAAGCAAACGTTTGAAATCACGTGTTGGGTGCTAACAGTGTCCTTGAGTCCTTCAGTGGAGCATCCTACGTGAAAAACATTCAAAGGCGCTCAGATGCGCCTTATGGAAGGGAGAAATGCCGCGTGGGGAGTAGAAGGATACAAGGATGAGAGTGAAGATGAGAAACCAGTAGTGGGAGGAGCATGATCACGATAGTCACGATATTTTCAAAATTTAGATGATGTTGTGATAGAAGGAACTCGGAAACTCTATCGATGGAAGCCTAGAGGTAATGTATGAAAACCGAATGCGATCGGATGTGATTAGTGAATGAGATCCAACTACAGGGACACAACAGGAGCATTGACATAGCTCCTAACAATCGTGCTGAGGTGACTTGGAAAACAAATGTCAAGGAAAAGTAGGCTAAAGCCATATATGTTATTGGCTATGATCGGAAGCTTTCCGATGTCTGTATTCTGTCCACCTAGGGTCGGTTCAGGTTGATCGCTAAGGTTATGTGGAATATAAGGATGGACGCGGATCAACTGTAGTGCAAACGATAAAGCAGTTTCCGAACATCTATGCAGATCTCAACTTAAAACGAAGATGACTGTGAGATCGAAATGGTGGGGAGCAGTGGCACTCAGGTGGATGATTACCTAACGGTATGGTACCCGTGCACTAGCGGCGTACCTCAAGGCATAGTACTGGGGCCTATTTTGTTCCTGATCCACATAAACGAAATACCTCATCTTTTTTGATCGCCCTGCGCATTAGTTGCAGACGACCTGAAGATTTGGAGGATTACTGAGTCTCCCCGCGACTGTGACGTCCTTCAGCAGGACCTCGAGTGCTTATGCTGATGGTCTGCAGAGGTTGAACTACCGGTCAAGTCCTCGTTTATGAGCGTGGGGAGGGGTGGTAATGGGCTGCGTACAACCCAGCCAGTCACCCGCTGCATCCCACCAGTTCCGTAAAAGATCTAGGCATACTCACACTGTGATCTGTCTGTCAACAACACGAAAAGACTTTACGCAAACGGACTACGCCTGCTTTGCGCACTTAGACGAAGCTACTGCACTTGGTCTGAAGAGATTGACACCCGCCTGTTCTATTGCAGAATAAGACCGGTGCGGCTCATCCACCTGTTGTCCGATCACAATAGGTGAGATGCAGATACTGGAACAGGTCCAGTATGTAGCTACCCGGCTGATCTTCAATTTACGGGGTATGTCGTACTGGGACCGATGTAGGGAGACTAGGGCTTTACATCCTATCATATCGTCGGCTTCGAGTTGATCTCATAATGACGTATCGGATACTGCACCTTGGCCACTTTCCTATCTTGAAGCCGCTGCTGCACCTTCACGCACCAAGCAGCACACGTGGATACCGGTCCAAACTAGTGGTACCCGATTTAAAGCACATCTCTCACCCTCTATGCTTCGAGCGTCGAGTGGTGAAATATTGGAACAATTTGCCGGAGATGCTAGTCGAGACGAAATCGATGTCGGAATTTAACAGATTCCTTGACGCCCACTTTGCGGACTACAGGTATAGGGAGCGTATCGCAACCGGCTAAGATGTAGTATAGCTGCAATATGCTGCCACCTCGCAGGAATCAGTGACGTGATTCCGCGTGTGCCCGATCCACCTAGGATGGAACAGCATAGATTTTTATCTTCTCGCTCTCAAGAAAAAATAAATGAGTAAGTAAACTCGGAAGGAGAAATGGTAATGAAGCAAGTTGTTCCCGATGAAATTTTCAGCAACAACATCGTATTTGGCTATATAATTGTTACTCTATATATAAACATATATACAGAGGCCTTTCATGGTGCGCATAGACTAAAAACTAATGGATAAAGTCGAATGGAATTACCCAAAGAGCCAGCGGCTGCGCGGATGAATCACATCTGAACATAACAACACAATCCGGAAATATGAAAATAAAGGAATGGAACAAAAGAAACCGTGCCAGAAACGGTAACTGGTTGTGTTAAATGGGCAAATCTGTAAACAGCATCAGCAGTCACTGCGGTAGTTGGTGCGATAATGCGATAAGGGAAAGTCGTGTCACAGCAAGTCCGCCTTCGAGGAATCCGGCACATAACGACCGGTGAACAAATAACCAAATACACAAAATAAAGCAAAGGCAAAATAAAGTGTGGACATTCCGAGTAGCAAGCCAAGTGGCTCGAAGGCAAAGGTAACTACAAAGCTGGTGATCCAATTCACAGCGATTGCGGCGGCGGCACCGAATCCTCGAACGGAAGTTGGGAAGAGATCCATGCACACCAAGATGGGCAGTGGACCCCAGCCAAAAGAGAACCCCAGGAGAAATAGTAGTATGAAGATCTTGCCCAAACTATTGGCAAGAGGGTGAGTGGAATCATACTGTAACAGAAGGACAGCGTGTAACAGATAGAAAGGTACTGTTCAATATGGGGTGAAATGCACCGGATAGAGGAGAAAAGTGCAAACCACCAAGACACGGGCAGATTATAAGTAGAAATGAAAGGTCACGGTGTTCCACATTCGAAGTAATCGTGTGAGGACCAAGCAGAATCATAGTGGCAACAAAATTCAATAAGAAGAATAAAGCTCAATGTAAGCGAACACACAAATTCGATGATCTCACTTCAGGCGCATAGAATAATGATGCTGGGCGTATCATAATGATTTGTATAGTGCGTTTAGTTTTCAGCAGACGATGAGGATCACTATCAGGTAGGTTACAGCTGCAGCTTCTACATAATTCTGTGGACTGGATGTAACAACCCAATTGGGTCAAAACAACCCTATTGTTTGAAGGAAATTCTTCTGAACACACAACCGGTTGCTGCAGCCGGATGGGGGTCTCGGTGGATTCTAGTTGCCGTCTACGGACGCAGCCTGATCAATTGTCAGGCGCTTGACAGATGACCTTGAGCGACTCAGTTGGTCGGCGAGATGCATAGATAAGGATGTTAGTTGAGTTGTGACAAATAGAATCATAACGCACCATTCTCGACTGACTATATAAAGGAATTCGGTGAAAAGAAATGTAACAAAGGGAGAAAACCAGACACAAACGATGACGCATAATGTGCACATCGTTCGTTTACCGTGTTAGTGACAATAGTAGTGGGATGTACGTGAACGATGAACCTTTTGTGAGGCCGTCACACTTTACGCTCTTTGGTTCCCATAGGTCGTGTGTAGAGGAGCATGGTCAAAGTACTAACCACTTGTTTGTTATCGCTTCGTATTCGGAAGCTATGTGAAGTGACCTGTGTTATTATTTTGGGGATAAAGTTAGCTACGATTAAGCATACGAAAGCTCGCGTTGATGTTATCCTGTCGCAACCAGACTGGACCTTAACGTGGTGCGACGGTTTGCGTACCTTCTTGACCCATTGACCTATACTGGGTGGTGCCTCCGGGCCTCTTGATAGCTACTCCTACCAGGCTGGTCAATGGTTAGATATCAGACAAACTCAATCTCCTGCTCCACCAGGTTAAGGGTTTAAAATGTGATGACGTCCATTTCTGTATAACTAAATCATTGCTACCTCCCCACTGACTTGAGGACAGGCTTTTGAGCCAAAGGCTTTGGATGAGGACCCTAATTGTCCTCCTGTCTAGGTCTGGGCGCCTTGGTATTATCTCAGCCCACATACAACCATTACTCTTTCTTCAAACACAGAACTTCATCCTGCATCGGCCGTCGCGCAGATTATCAAGGGTCGCCTTATCTGTTGCATACAGTATGGCGGATAAGCGAAAACATGCTACTGCTGGCGCTTCCCTTCTTTCTTTTCCACCTTTTTCTCTTACTCCCATCCCGACTCAAATTACTGACATTTTTTCTATAATCCCCAGTTTAATTCATAGCAATCGAAGTGCCACTGGAGTAGAACTATCTGTGGCCACCTTCTCGCGACACTCACCGGACGCCTATGGGCAACAGACCCTTGTAAGGGCACGCTGTCCCGTTTCCATGGCGACGTTCAACGTGCGCACTCTCTAAGACAAATAGGTCAACAGGCTGCACTCGCACGCATTTTGGACACGGCAGCATCGATGAGCGCTGTGTGTGCATGAAACCAGGATCAGTGACCCTAATGTGGTTGTGGAATTAATTGCAACCGGCTTATCCTCTCGTTCGATTTGGTTCATCGTAAATAAATTTCAAACCGCATAGGGAAGCTACCAGTCCGAAAAAGCACCAGGCGCACGTTTCGGCCTAGTAGAGCCCGTCAGTGGCGCGCATCCTCTCGGTATTGGCTGCACGTAGCCGAAGACGCCGATGCAGCGCTCACGGGTCAAGCAGGGGTAGGCTACATCCTAAGCTCCAAGGTGGAGCAACTGTTGATTCATTGGATTCCGGTGAATAGCCGTTTATGTGCAGCCCGTTTGATGACATCAGGCTGCTTCACAAAGTAGTATAAAATGCTGTTTATTTGTGATATCTGGTTATGCTCCCGTCGACTGCAGTGCTAAGGCTATCAAGGACACATTCCATTACGAACTGAACACGCTACTACGCAGTGCTACTAGTTCAGATATTATAGTACTTGCAGGGGTTATGTACGTACAAGCAGGGCATCCGAGCTCTACCGAAGCTCAGCTGGCTGGTAATTATGCGCTTTGCTCCGAACGAACTGACAATGGCGACCACCTGCTACAACTGTATGCGGAGCACTAGATGTTTCAGTAGCACTTTTTTTAGACAGTTGGCGCTGAAGTGCCACTTGGCGCACTCTTGTAGCTGGCCAGCAATGGACCCAAATTGACCACATTGCCACAAGTTACAGGTGGCGTGGTTCCATCCTGGATTTCCGCTCGTACTGGAATACCGGTGTCGACTCTAATCATGCCTTGGTACGCTGTCGTTTCTCCATGAACTTTACCGGGAGGCGCACCAAGCGTCTCCTCCGATTGGCAATTGAGAAATTGTCTCAGCCCTCAGTCAGACAAGCCTACTAAGACGCATTGTGTACTGGACTTTCTCTGTTTTGTTCTAAAGACACTGAGCTTCAGTGGAATGGGATCTCGGCCGCCATGCACGACACAAGAGCATCTGCTTGTGGCACTATCAATCGTCACCGCACCAGTCACTGGATATCCAAGAGCTCGGTGAACCTGCCGAAATCTAGAAGAAACCCCCCTGGCTGGCTCTGAACCAGCCAGGCTATTAGGCACGAACTAAAGCGGAGGCTACGTGCTGACAAGGAAGCCTGGTGGACCAGTCAGGCTCAACAAATGGAGGAGGCAAGAGTAGTAGGCAATTACCACAAGCTCTTTCAGCTGATCCGCACCATTGGTCGCAGGAAACAAACCGTTAGTGAGACAAGCAGAGACAGCGCGGGTGCACAGATACACAGGGAGGGCTATATGGTTTGTTGGGCAGAACACTTTCAAGATCAGTTCAGTTGGCACCCTGTTCCCCGACCTCTTCCTACTCAGGGAATGCAGGACGAGCCATGGACGGTTAGTTTAGAGCCTCCGTCGAGGTCCGTAACGCGATCACAGCCCTCAATCGTTTCCGTGCCGCTGGCCCGGATTCTCTCACACAGTCACTATTTATAGATGGAGGTGAGGTCCTCTACAAAGCACTGACCTCCCTATCCGAACGTATCTGGAAGGAAGGGTCTCGGCTAATTAGGGCAAATTGATTATGGTGGCAATATACAAGAAGGGCAGTCGCACAGACTGTTCTAATCACAGGGGTATTAGCCAAACGCCAGTTATGACAAAAGTACCGACCTGGATTCGCGTTCGTCGCCTCACTGTGGAACGGGAATCCCAGATTAAATAAGAGCAGGCAGGTTTCCGTCAAGGAGGTGGCTGAGTAGACCATATACTCCCTCTGCGGCAGGTAGCAAAGCAGTGCCACACATATCGCAGACAGACAACAGTTGTGTTCCTTAATTTCAAGAGTACGTTCGATGCATTCTGTTCGAAATACTTGCGCAGAAAGGTGCTCACACGAAATATGTGAACATCCTACTTGCTCTATACTCGAACATTACAGGCCACGTCAGGGTTTACGGTGACCTATCATATAGCTTTCCGACAACAAGTGGCGTTCGTCAGGGTTGTCCGATTTCCACATTTTTGTTCAATTTCCTCGCGGACTCCATCATGGAGTGTTCCCTTGCGGAATATCACGATGTAGTCATTGAAGTGCTGCCTGGTGAAAGATTAGTTGATCCTGATTATGCGAATGATATCATCTAGTTTTTTCGACGATGTTGTGGCGGCACAATCAACCCTAAATAGCCTGTCTTGTGTGGTCCCATTATTTGGTATGCATTTCGCCCCTTCAGTGCAAAGTGTTGCTGCAGGACCACCAACCACTTGATGACCTCTTGACGCTTGCTAACGAGGAACTCGAGGTGGTTGATCAATTCACTTGTCTTGGCAACTGAATCAGCAACGATGGGCGCATAGGAACTGATGTCAGCCCATGCATTGCAAAAGCCAGAGCTACCTTCTTGAACCTGAAGCATCTTTGGCGACAGAAGAGAGTTTCCCTCCGTCTGAAAGGCCGTGTATACAAGGCCACATTGAGGGCCGTTCTGCTCTATGGGAGTGAGACTTGGCCCCTTCGGTCTGAAGATCTGAGGTGCCTTCACGTCTTTGGTCATTGTTGTCTGCGAAGCACTGCTGGTGTCGGATGGCATCAGCGTGTGCGCAACGATGATGTGCGTAGGCGAGTACTAGACAGTGATAATCATGCTAGCTCCCTAGAACAACAGATAGCACTGAATAAGTTGCGTTGGTTTGGACATGTTACATATACCTGGTCACTGTTTACCTAGGATGGACTTGTTTAGTCTGCCAGGTGTAGGGCAGCGCAAGACTCCAGATGAACAGAAGTTCACTTGACAGCAGAAAATGAGGTCTCTGACTAAAACACTGGGTGCCGTTGGTCTGCCTTGCGTTCCGGGCTGCAGTCCAAATGACTCGCCTTGTGCTTGGTTCGAGACTTTACAGCACATGGCTCACAGTAGACACCAGTGGCGCGTCTGTTGCCGTCTCCTAATCGGATTACCTGTTAAAAGTGTTTTTGGTGCTGAGTTATCTGCGAAGTAATGGCTGATTATAACGCGGGGCAGTTAAAGCCGCAAGGAAGTTGTCTCGCCGATGCTGCCTTATATTTGCACGATAGCCAGTTGTTTGTGACGGTATGTTGTCTACACAAGGTGTAGGCGCCTTGATTCTGAATGTTTGCTTAGGACATTAAGGTTTTCAGGTAAGTCACCCTTCTCTCCCTCTTATTGTTCTTTATTTCCTAAACCATCATGTTTGCATGACAGGGAAGCATGAGTTCAAATGGCTGATGTACTGTTGTTTAATTGTCGATGTAGTCCTATACAGCAGTCAGCTGCCTTGAGCCGTCATTATCGGATCCTGTCAGTCGATAGCAACAATCTCAATGAAACTGTCTCTTGCCCATCCTTCTTAAAGCGTCACTAATGTTGCTATTATCATTTCGGTGACAAGAGTCAGAGCTACCGGCTCGACCCCACCCGAACTGAACTGAGCCTTTTTTTCCTGTTCCTCTTCCACTTTATGAGTGTGCGGCGTTGAAACATCAGAATAATGGTAATAATGGCAGTGATGATCATCTGAATGCCCGTTAATGCGGTAGCAAACGGGGCAACAGCAGTACGCCAGCGCACCACACCAATACTTCTCTGGCACGCGGCTACCAAAAGTCGCGCGAAGGCTGGGTATACGGCGAGACCGCCCCCGCAATAATCTGAATGCATTGAAAGGACGCACAGTTGGTCAACTAAGAAAAAATAAATTCGATCTTTTACATAACTTGACATACTGGCATCTTGAGTCAATTGACCGACTTCTCTCTAGGCTGGGTACACAGATCGCATTCCATTGTCATCGCATAACTGTGATGAGGCTAGATATGATGGCGAGGGAAAGCGGATAGCGTAGTCGCTAAGCCTACCGATCACACTGAAGATGGTTCTGATAAAATGAGATTGAGCTAATGTGTAGCACAACAGAGCGAAACTCCGACCTAAACAATGCCACAAAGGTTACTAAGTTCAACACCAGGAAGTACAGACAGCTGGCATGTGTACCCATATATAGGATTGAGCAAATCCGGCACTGGAAAGCAGAAATAAATGTAAGTTAGCACATAGAAACAAACAAAAGACAAACTCACTAGAAGTAATGCACCGTGAAGTGAATGTGCCACAGCCATTACCAACGAACTCCATTGAAGCATTCGCTTTCGGGAGAAACGATTGATGACGAAGGCCGCGCCGACCGTGAACACCAACTGTGCAACGCCCAATAATATGGCGCACCTTGTTGCCCACGAGGACCCACCGATCATGCACACAGATTCGGCATAATACAATATGGCATTGATCCCGGACATCTGTTGAAACACCATGAGCAGCATCGCCACGCGTAGCCGAGACTTTTGTGCTTGGGGTATGGCGCCACACGGCAGAATGAAATCGCGTGCCCTCAGTTTGAGAGGGGCGTCATGTTCAAGTCCCTCTTCGACGGGATACATCGATTCATTGCAGAGTGGAACAGAAGCCTACGAAGGAGGAAATAAAAGGTAATGCAGCCACAGTGGAAATCACGTCAGTTTCAAAGGGAGCGCTATAAGAATTACTGAATGCAATTATTTCCTTCAAAATTAAGCGATGGAAACAGGGCAAGAACGCGATATAAATGAGGCGTTTTTGGGAGAAACTTTCGTGACATAGACCGGTGGTCGGTACGCAGAAAATCATCACCATCAACAGCAAAATATACGTTAGCTAGAGGTGCATAAAACACCTCGGCTACTGTGCCTCAATACATGAAAGAAAAGAGAAAATAAATACAACAGTTGCATGCCAGCTGAGCTACCAGCAACGGATGGGCATCGTTTCGGAAATCTACCAGCCGGCTATCAGACAACAAGAAAAATTATGATGTAAAATTATATTATGCTACGAAATGAGATCGTGGTTGGAGAGGGAGGCCAAAAGAGATGGAGAAGGATAAAGAAACTCACAGCAGGAATGCCACTGAGGGCGGCTCCTAGCCACGTAAGCAAGTGTATCTAGCCAAATGTGTTCATCGTCTTTTGGCCACCAACCAGGGAGCCGTGAAGGTCCAACCGAGGCAAGCTCCGAAGTGAGGGCCTTCATTCCTTTAGACCAAATCATCGCTGGCCCACCCCTTCTCTTCTTCCATCCGCAACTTCGGCGCGCAAGCAGCGCACGACGCGGGAGTCGGTGGGCTGGCATGAGTAACACGTGGCTGAGCCATCGGAACCTGGTGCGTGAAATGACGGTGCTGAGCGGCTCAGTTCCTTTCCTTGTGCAATAAACAAGGCGTCGAACACGCTCGTTGCTCACGCGGTGTTCCCACCAGGTGTGAGCCAAACTGAGAAGGCACCGGTGGTCAAACGTAACTGGCCTCTTAATGTCTGCTCATCTAATGGGGCCAGGTTTCGCAACCGTACAGTAAGGCCGAACGTACTGCTGCAGTGTACACTCTACCCATTTTGGCGAGAGTTATGCCGCGTAGCCGCCATAGGTGGCGAAGACTAGCAAAAGCACTTCGAGCTTTCGCTATACGATTCCTGAACACATCTTCGATCCCAAGGGCGCGGATACAACTTCACAGCTATTTGAATTTCCGAACGACTTCTAGCTGATCCCCACCAATGGTCAGCGCAGGATGCGATCCTTGCCAATTTTGGAGGAAAGCTTTGCACTTCGATGGTGCAAAGCGTAGCCCGAAACGGCTGACAGCCGGTGCTAATCTGTTCAGTGCCGCTTGTCAAGTTTGTGAACCATCCCAGATGAGGACAATCTCGTCAGCATATTCCAGGTCAAAATGTCGTTCTCCTGGGAGCAGATCCACACCTTCTATTCGTGTCCTATAAAGGCAATCTCGATAGCGAAGTTGAAGAGGAAAGGTGACAGTGGGATTCTTGTTTCACACCGCTAGAGATACTGAAGGGCGGCGATAGCCTGCCGTAAGCCCACACTCTGCCCGTTGCTACGCAGGAAAGCAAGATGTCCATGATAATGGCAAGAAGGAAATGAAGGCATCAGTAGTACGTCAGCACGTCGCCCCGCTGCTACTTGACTACAACGTGGGCTGGGTTTACGGTGAGGTTGCCCGCAGTTATGAAAATTCGAACCGGTGACATAATGTTACAGGCCAACCAGCAATAAGCCGATGATTGGTAGGTCATCAGAGAGGGCATAGGTTGGTAAGTCAAACAACAGCAATAGTAAAGGAGAAAAATGTGGTTTTTTCGCAGAAGTGCTTGTGAAGTCTCCACAGCCACTAATGATGTGCTTCTAAGAAATGTGGAGGATGCACACATCACTAGAAAAGATAAGTGCATAGCTTAGTTTTAGTATGCGAAGGAGATAAAGGAGTGATCACAGACAACCTGGCGCCGAAGATGGAAAGCCAAACTGTGTGGTATTTCCACACTACTAGCCAAGGCTCAGTCCCAGAAAAATGGGCTTAAACGGGTTGCAATGGTTTTCGTAACCGTGTAATGCACTGAACTACAACGAATAATACTTCCCTAGCGCTTGCAGAGCTATTAATGCCATCGCAGAGGCTGGATTTTACATTGGTGCGATGGTTTGCGTGTCTCAGACATCGAGTAAGCTACGCTCGGTGGTGCTTTTATACACCTTCTGAGCCACTCATACCAGAATGGTCAATACTTAGAGGCAAGATAAACTCAGTCTCCTGGTACTACAGGTTAAGAGTTGGAGTGAGGGTGGCTCCTTATTCCTTAAACTGGACTGTTTGTAGCCCACTGCCAAACCCGCTGCCTTGCGAACAGGTTTTTGAATCACAGGTTTGGTTGAGAATCTTAATCGTTCTCCTGTCTAGGCTTGGGTAACCTGACAGTATCCTGCCCACGCAATACTATGCATCTTTTCTCAAAGAATTTCCTGATGCTCTGGTAACCGCAGAGGATAAACAACGGTACCCTATCTGCTGCAATGAGTAGGATAGATAGGCGTTCGGATGCTGATGCTCAAGCCTTCCCGTCCTCTTATACTCCCTCTTACGCTTTTTCACCCTTATCGTTCTGTTCTAACTTCACTTTTATCTACCGCGCTGTAAACCCCCAATTCTTGGCCCTCCCACACCCTGCCTTGATAAGGATTAACCTTCTAGTTTTAAGTCACATACAAACGCAGAGCGTCACTCCTGCCCTATCGACAAGCCCATGTCCAACCAAGCGGTCAAGTCCACTTCATTGGCTTCTGTTTGGAGCCCTCGATCCTCCCTCCGATTGGCATATCTCAAAGTACACGCGTTGTTACAGATCAGTCAACAGGCATCCCTTGCCTGAACATTATAAACTCTCTCGATCGACATTTTGCTGCTTACCGGAAACCCGCCTGAAAGATGCAAACACTGCGCTCGTTTTGCGATCCCATTCAGGTAACACCAGCAGTGCTTTCTTGTTGCGCCTATTCGGAGACGATGCAGCTTCGAGTTCCGGCCAAGTCAGTGTTGGTATTGCCCTAAGTCCCCGGACTGAAGCTGCTCTGGTTGTGTGGTTCCCAGTCAGTAGCCGGATGTGTGCGATCCGATTGGCTGGCTCGTAGAAAGCTTCGAAGTCGCGCAGGACTAATGGGTGTCTATTCGTCATCGCTTCCTACGCGCCAGCAAACTGTAGCGGTGATTTGATAAAAGATGACTTCTATCACCAACTGAACGAGCTCCTTCACCACAGAAGAAGCGCGGACACTGTAGTGCACGCTGGGGATCTGAACGCCCAAGTTGAAAAATTGTCCAGTGATGAACTGCATCTGGGCGGCTAACGCGGTGTAGGCTCCAATAATGATAATGTTGAGCAGTTACTCCATTTATGTGAAGATGCCCACTTATTTCTTGAGAACACTGACTTCCGACACACCACCCGCTGGTGACATGGCGTCCACCAGCCTAAGATCATCCTTGGACGCAAATGAATCACATTGTGATCAGTTTCCGTTGGAAAGACTGCGTCCAGAACTGTCGCTCGATTTGCAGCACATGGGTGGACACTGACCATGCATTTGTATGTCTTGATCTATGAATGCGTTTTGGCGGACGCACATGAAGACCCTGTGAGCGGATTCACATCACCCAACTGGCGAAGTCAGCTGTTCTGAATGCGTATCGAAGTACGCTGACTTGCGGGTTGACTAGGCGCTCAATGAATACAAGTAAAGGTCACCAATCGCATGTTCAACAGACCTTACTAGAAGCAGTCAAATTCACATACAGTAAGTTAAATTACCAACATGGACATTAGGTTTCTTCACGGCCTCTTGAATTTAACGATGCTCACCGGCACATTTCGGCTTGAAGCGAAGATAATAAGACTCGCAAAGATCTCCGGGCAAAACTTCGTGTTAGCCTGAAGAAAGACGGAGAATCTCAGTGGTCTCATCGGGCGTCAGAGATGGAAGCGGCCGATACCTTTTGTAATCATCGGAGGTTATTCCGTCTGATACGGGAAACTTGGTGTTAGTGAAAATATACGTGACGAGAGTGCACAGCCTATGCACAAGTTGTCAAAACGTCTGGAGCGTTGGACTGAGCACTTTGAAAGGCAATTTAATAGGTAGGAATTGCCAGATTTCTCACCAGTCACAGAGCGCTCTGCTCCGTGGGTTGTCCCTTTGGATCCAGTCTCTCGCATAGAAGTCGAAAGGGAAATCCGACTGCCGAAGTTGAATAAAGTCGCGGGACCAGATGATCCTCCTACAGCCCACTTCAAATTCGATGAAACTACTCTTGTGGATGATTTACACGAGTTACTAGTGAAACTGCGGGAGCAGGAAACTGTCCCGACAGACTGGAGCCGCTCCGTCATAGTCCCAATTTTCAAGGGAGGCTCACGATCGGAATGCAGCAACCATAGAGAATCAGTCTGATCTCCATCGCCACCAAATTGCTTGCCCCTGTCATCCTTCGCAGACTGACTGGCACTCGCGAAAAAGCCAGATTCGTGAAGAGCAAGACGGGTTTCGTCGTGGTCGGGGATGCATCGACCACATATTCACATTAGGTCAGTTGTTGGAGCACCGTCACATATATTGGCGGCCCAACGTTGTCGCGTTCCTCGATATCAAAGGTACTTCGACTCAGTGGATCAACGTGCTCCTTGGGACTGTCTGCTGAGGAAAGATGTGCTCGAGAAGTAGGTAAATATTATGCGAACGCTTTACACGCATGGCTCGGGCAGTGAGGGCTTACGTCAAGCCGTCGCCGCCTTTCAATATCTCTGACGGTGTGAAACAAGAATCCCACTGTCACCATTACTCTTCAACTTCGCTATCGATGAAGCGATGGAAATCGCGTTCACAGGACATGACTTAGAAGGTGTGGAGTTACTCCCAGGAGAACAACTTCTTGATTTGGAGCATACTGACGACATCGCGCTCATCTGTGATAGCTCACAAACGTGACAAGCGGCACTGAACAGATTAGCACCGGTTGTCAGCCGTTTCAGGCTACGCTTTGCACCATCGAAGTGCAAAGCTTTCCTACAATAATGGGAGAGATCAA